ACAGAAGTTCCCAGTAGACAGAAGTTCCCAGTAGACAGAAGTTCCCAGTAGTCAGATCCCACCTCGTATGCAGGTCCAGCAGTCCTCCCTCCGGTTGTGCCTCTGCAGCTCATCTGGGGTGACCTCCAGCAGCCGCCCCCTCAGGCCTGTCAGGTCCTTCCCGCTCTTAGCGAACCGGATCCAGTCCATCAGACTGTGTCCAGGTTTCAGGGCCACCTGCCGAGCAGAGGGGGGTCAGCAGCTCCACAACAACAGGCGGACATGTTCCACCAGCTCAGGCTGAATAAAAGCTGCTCTGTGTTTATAAATGTGCTGCCTGGCTGGGTTATAAACACAGGTCGGGTTTTCTCTGGGTTCTGGGTGACAGAGACCCAGAGCTGGACCCAGAGCCCCGCTGCTCCCTACCGGCCGGTGGTACCTTGTTTCTCCCGGACTGTCCGGACGGGGCGACCCTCTGCTGGGAGCCCGGCGCTGGGAACGCCTGGCTGGGGATGTTCAACATGGAGGCGGGTCGGAAGCAGCTCCAGCTCCGAAGGAAACCTGTCCGACAAACACAGCAGCAGCAGCGGCGGCGGAGGGGTTAGACGGTCCGGCTGCTCCCAGCGCTGTGATGAAACATCCTGATGCTAGGCTAGGCTAGGCTAGGCTACGGTTACATGACGCCTAAACGGCCACATTCACTAGAACTAAAGATAAATAGTCAGAACTGTCACACGGAGATACATGTAGAATTTAAAAGAAGTAACCATGAGTTCTTAAATAGATCTGTCACTCTATATTTAAGGGTCAAATACGAGTTAATTTGTTTTAGCTTATCTCCGGTTAAGAAAACTACAAAATGGCCCAGGCTCTGACGTCAACAAATCGCGACTGCGTCTGCTACGTCATCTGTTACACAATTTCCGAAAGCAGCAGCACTAAAACCAGAGTTCCTTTCAGCGGAATTTCCCTTTAAATGAGCCTTTCTGTCCCTGACAGCAGCTCTAAGCTCTATAGGTCTATACCACACACTGACACCAGGGGGCGCACAGCTGACACCTGGGAGGAAACGGATGAAAAAACCGCTGAAGGTGGACGCGCTTCTTCCTCCACATGATCCACTCTCAGTGTCATCTTCCTCCTCCTCATCATCATCATCTGAGTGGGTTTCCATGGTGGGATCATAGAGCTGTGCTGCGCTCATTCAAATATAACAACATCTGACCTTCTCGGCACCCGTAGAGTTAGAGAAAGATTAATCTGCTAAGAGGATTCCTAGACAGACGTCCTCTTCAAACTAAAGGTCAGAACAACGGACTGTGAATAGGGTTGGCTTTTAAGATTAGCTTTACTAAATAAATGTTGCAGTCTTATTCCAAATAAAGATCCTATTATTTTCCCAGTGAGAGTTTCCCATTGATAACCAGATGGTTTTATGCATACAGGACTGTGGAGGGATGAGCATATCTCCATCAAGCACTCAGACCTGAGGACCATTTAAAATGAGCATTTGATCAAACATCCATGTTTTTCAGTGTGGGAGGAACCTGAGAGAACCCAGTAATGCACAGGGAGAACTGTGCAGGAAGACGTGTCACCATGGAAACCCAGAACCTTCCTGCTGCAGCAGCACCAACAAATAAAATAAATCTTAAAGAAAAACCTTCAGAGGGATTCCTTCCATAAGAGCGTGTACTGAAAGCACAGCTGGAAAATGACAACAAACCACTATGACAACAAACCACTATGACAACAAACCACTATACACATGGTTAAAGCATCAATACATCAAAATGTTTTCATCATGCAGTGAACTACTGTCTGATAAAAGCTTTATAGAGGGAAGGAATCAACTCAATGCTAAATGATAGTGGGAATCAACCCTTTAACGACCCCCTTTAGAGACATAGACAGGTATGGGGCATTGCAGGCTAATAAACAAGCCTAATGACCCCCATTCCAAAGGGATGGACCAAATAAACCTGGAACTAAACGCTATTTCGGACATTTTGAATTGAAAAAGCTTCCTGGATGGAAGACGTACTTTAATAATCCCAGAGGGAAATTACAGAAACGTCTTCAAACTTGGAAACAAAGTCCAGTGGATTGTTTTTAACTTTTCAGGAATGACTCTGACCTGGATGACTGAGAACTGAGTAATTAATTTGTTAATCGAATGCGGGCAATTCCCTGCACCCTTGAAACAGGCTAGAGTTATGCCTATCCTAAAGTCAGGATCCCAAGGCCAGGCCTGTAACTATCAGCCCATAACTATCCTGCCTGTATTTTCTAAGGTGTTAGAAAAAATAGTCTCCAATCAGTTAATGGCGTACATACAGTATCATAAAATCTTACCTCCTCTACACTTTGGCTTCCGACCTCATTATTTAACAACAAACTGTTATTTTGTTGAACAAATAAAGTTGGCAATAGACAGCGGGGAAATAGTAGGCGCAGTCTTTTTGGATCTCAAAAAGGCATTTGATACGTTAAATCATCAAATTCTAATTGCAAAATTATCCAAATTAAAATTTTCACCTAAAACTTTACAGTGGTTTGAATCCTACTTAGAAGGAAGAGAGCAGTGTGTCACAATAAACAACGAAAAATCATCATTTTTAGAGATAAATACAGGAGTGCCACAGGGATCCATCCATGGCCCTCTACTCTTTACATTATACATTAATGACTTGCCAGAGTCTTGTCCAGCAGCAGGTTTTCAGTTATATGCAGACGATGCAGTAATTTATGTTCGTGGAAACACTGTGCAAGCAGTTTCTAATCAACTGTCAGGACATCTACAAACTGTGTCAGTGTGGTTCCATAATGCAGGGCTGTCTCTCAATGTCTGTCTGTTTCTCTTCTAGGACCAGGCCCATATCTCAGGAACAAAATTTACAGATAAATGGAGCTAGAATCCAGCAGGTCTCAGAAATCGAGTATCTAGGATTAATACTTGACTCACAATTGAAATTTGACAGCCATGTAAAAAAAAGTGTTTTGTGCACTCCATGATGTTTTCACATCTAAGTTACTGCATTAGTTCTTGGTCACAGGCCACAATCACTACTATCAAGCCTCTTCAGATGATCTATAATAGAGCTATAAAAATCTTAGATAAAAAACCAATCCATTGAGAATTAGCCTTAGCTAAAATGTTGTAGTGTGTGACATGATGCATGAAACATACTTGTCCCCA